CCAAACAGCCAGAGCAGAACCCCAGTTTCTATAACATGAAGCAACTAAGTGTATTGCTACTCTCCACTTGAAGAGATGCAGGTCATTACAAGGTTACCCCCAGTTATTTCATCAGGCTTCCCTGACAACTCATTGGTATCCATTTATACTCCTTGGTGGAGAGGAACACCAAGAGAGTGACGTGTTTTGCCTATAAAAACAAACTACTTAATGTCAGATCTTGGGATCTCAAGAGCTACAATGTATCTGGCATAGGGAGGGAAGATGTCATTACCTCCATCCAAATCTGACATGGGTGATGCAGATGACACAGACATCTGTGAGCATTCTGAACCCAGGCGAAAACGTTTCCCTTTCAAAATAACAAGATAATAAGTGAGCTGAGGGTGCTCTCTTGCAAACAGTCTCAGCAGCTATCAAGGGCTACCATACAATTAATACATACTGGCCAAACTGTGTAAAGCAATGCACAAAGTTATTTTGCTACAGAGGAAAAAGTGATTTATCTACCTCTCTTGCCAAACTGCTTCATGTTCAAGTAACTGATTGTAAGACGAACAATGGAAGCTTTATCCAGTTGCGATGTGATGGCAGGGGGTAGTGGCAGGAGCTTGGCCAGCTCATCAAACTGAGCATTTTCCTTTCCGCGTCTGCTCCTTGCAGCATCTCGAGATCTCTCTTTACGAAGCTCAACAACTCTGAAACACAACAGAAAAATTTTTGTGTTAGCAGAACCCTGGTAAAAGACAAATTAGCTATAATAAGCACAGGCTCAAAACAGTACAACAGCCACTTTTTTTATTTCTAATTTTCTTCTTCTGTTCTTGAAGAACCTCTATGCAAATAGAAATTCTTTTGCGAGAACTCCACTGATACAATTAATTAGTTGTGGTGCAATTATTATAATTTTTTTTTTAATTGGGTTCTTCAAAAACCAAAATTTGTACATAAAAGAGGAGAGTTAGATTTGAAAATTAAATTCACAAAAAAAACAAACAAAACACACATTTTACAATATATATATATATATATATATATATATACCCTTTAACTTCCATGAGTGATCAAGACAGAATTTCTCCTTACAATATCAATACAATATCAACCAGACAAGTGATGAGAATAAAGAAAAATATCAATTTGGGGATAATCAGTTGATTCAATACTAAAATTCTCTGGACTAACATTATAACAATTGTATGGCTGACAGTTAGGAGAATTACAAATTTGATCTGAGAGTTAAAGGGTTAATTAAATACCTGTCTGTTTACTCCCAACTAAAGAGCACATGTTTGGTGGGTGTTTTATTCAATAGCACGTACAATCAATAAACGCTTTTGTAGAAAATTGTCAAGTTACACACAAAGGTTTTTCATTTTGAGGAAGAAAAAGGAAAATCAACTTGTTTGATGTTACAAAAAGTTCCAATCAAGACTAATTACATTGAGCAACTCTCACATGTTGGTGAAGTGTAGTGGTTACTTTCAATAAAACAGATCATAATTTCATGATCAGAAAGTTTCCTAATAAGGAAAGATTAAAGGACCTAGATAAATCTGTTTTCAACTTAATTCCAGCAGTTTCAAGTTTCTCTCAAAAGAGACATAAAGAATGGTTATTTTCAACGCCGTAAATGGTTATTAATTAATAAATCTGGTAGACTCCAAGTGCATGTAATAAGATATGTGTTTACATATCTAGCATATTTTATTTGTGTTTAGGTCACGTCTCATCCAAAGCCCACCAAAACAATAAAGCAATGAAGCTTCGTTAACCTAACTAACATTCTTATGGGAAAGAAAGGCTAGAGGTGCCTTTAAATTGCTTTCTAAATGCATTGAATACTAGTTAGAACTGCTTCTGATATTTACAAAAAATAACAATCATTAAAACTCATGATGGTCAGTTGCATGATGATGCAAAATTCAAACTCATAAGATATGCTAAGTACTTGTCTTTTGAATTTTTTTTCAATGGTTGTCTTTGTTAATGGTTTTTGTTTTAGCTTCCCTCATTGAATCTGAAAAGCCATCCAAGGTCATACCTGTACATGTAAGTTAATGAGTGAAACATATTGCCTTGGGGAACAGAATACTGCCTGTACTTGACACAAAAAGGGAAAAAGGAATAAAAACTTTCTGTAATTACTATATTGACAAAGAAAATATTTTCCTATTACAAAAATTATCTTATAGCACCTCTGATTAACAAATTAGGAAACATTAAAAAACTTGAAGGGTTCTTCATACAGTTTTCAGCGTGGCACTCAATGTCCTTGTCACGGTCATGGAAAACTTTGTAGTTGAAATTGAAGATAACACAAAATACAAAGAAACCGACTGGTGGGAGATAACCACAACAGGAAGTGGCTGAAAGCCAATGTGATCACTTCTTGTGTAAATAGGAAAAGTAAAAAAAGCATGACTTTAGCCTACAAGGTGTAGAACATGAATCTGACCACAAGGACATGCATAATTTTGCATGAATTTTCAATCAACATGTGTTGAAGCTGAAAATTAATCCATCCTAACAACTGCCTTATAATCCACTTGGAATTACAAAGAAGAGTTTCAATGAAACTCACCAATAAAAGAGACAAGAGATTGAAATAAGACTTTAAAATTCATCAAAGGGAAACAGCTCACTATGAACTGCTAATTCCCTCATTGGCTGCTATAATCCTCACAGAGAAAATAAACAACAGTTGTGGTCGAAACAGGCTAGCAAAAGAAACATGCTTTGAAGTAATACTTACTAAACAAACATTAAGAATGCCGCCAGATTCTTTCCTCTTAATTATTGTTGGGCCACACACACCAGATAAACAAAATTAACCGATACAAAATATTAGAAACTGTGTTTTACATTAACATATCATAAGAAGGGCCAAGAGGCAGTTTTAAGCCTCTAGGGGGGTAAATTTATAAAAAAAAAAGAAACAAATTTTGCAGTTACATTGGTGAGGGGTATAGCAAAATAACTTGGTTTGATTACTGAGTTAAAAATGTAAATGGCCACACTAAAGAGTTTCAAAAGCTGATGACTCAAGCATAAGCCCTTTGTCAGTTTTAATTCTGGTCTTCAGCCTAACACGAAATAAGATGAGAGTGCTTTGTTTCATTATCACAATGAAGAGAGTGCAATTAAATAGAGCCTGTGGCTCAGAGTACCTGAGATCTACTAAAGAGCACATTCTATATTTTAAAGATTCTCAATGACTGTCTGAATCACTTAATTTTTTTTTTTAACATTTACATGTATATCTCCAAAAAAATGTAGCAAAGCTGGGTTGAGTTTACCTAAACCAAAAAGTAGAAGCAAATAGCCTGTTATGACTAATGGTGAAACCTGTAAAAAATTTTCAACATTCTGCTGCTTTCACAATTTTCCTGTGGTAAGATACAGGGGATTTGTAGTTTTACAAACTCACACCATGTATTTACAAGTGGAAATTTAAAGGATTATGAAGCTCTACTCCATTCAGTTTACAAAGCCTTTTAACTCACTGGATAACTGATTGACAAAGTTAATGGCCAAGGCACTATTGTTTCAATCCTTCAAACGTGGATGTTCAAATTTCAAGTTTGAAACATTCTGCTGCTTTCACAATTTTCCTGCAGTAAGAAAAAGGGGCTTGTAATTTTCCAAACTTACACCGTGTATTTACTAATGGAAATTTAAAGGAATATGAAGCTCTACTCTGTTCAGTTCATAAAGCCTTTTAACTCACTGGATAATTGATTTGCAAAGTTAATAGTCATTGAGCTATTGTTTCAGACCTTCAAATGTGGATGTTTGAGTGATGCGGTCACAGCAGGGTAAAAGAGGAATCTAGATGTACATGCAAACACTGATTTTAAAAAAATTTCAACTTGAACAAGTTGGCCTAAATCTAACAACCAGATATCATTCTACACAATGTGAACAAACATCCGTACAAGAAAACAACTGAGCTTTAAAAATATTTCGTGATGTCTCCACAACAGTTACAACACAACTCTCAAAAATAATTGTGGACTGTTCGTTTTAAAGATGATTTAAAATTAGTACAATCTCATCCAATACAATGTACAAGTGAACCACAGTATTTTCACCACAAACCAAATCATGTTTTGCAGATTGCTTTCATTAACATGTCTTTGATGAAATAAAACATCACATGCTATCTGTTAAAATTAATATTCATGGATGCCTCCTGGCTATGAATATTTGTGGTAATGAGACATTGTGCTGAAGAAATAGTAAGCTCACCTTCCATCCTGGTTTCAAACAACTAAAATAACCACTCTATTGATACAAAAATATACAAGGTATATTTGTGGAAGGTCACCATATAATACCACAAACTTTAGATGAAACCTTGATTATTTGACACCATTGTCTACAAAACCAAGAGAGATACTAAGCACTCGGTGTTCAGAATTAATTGCAGTAAGAATACATTTCTCAAATTTTCTGCTGTCAACAACTGAAAAGTTTCAAGTGGATTTACAAAGCAATGTCATGACAGAGGTAGAAGGTACATGGCTCTCATGAGATGAACAACTTTGTTTGAAAACTATCACATGTAAGTCTTCTTTTCCTTAAACTTTCCACCCCAAAAATGCTTGACAAGAATTGATCAATTTTTCATGTTCATTTGGTGATGACAGTTCTGAACAAAAGAGGCCATGAAGCAGAAAGCACACTTTCATTTAACAATGTGCTTTCTCCCCTGTCAGTCATGCTCTTTAAGCAATAAGAATGAATGCAAATTCACCACAATTCAAAAAAAGCTTCTCTAAAATTAGATGGAGCCAAAAAAAGTTAAAATGTACAATCCCTGAGATTATTTAGAATTTCATTCAGATAAAATGTTCTGATTAATTACTGCAACCTTGCTGAGGAGTAAAAATTTAGACAAAACTTATGTGATCCGTTTCTATAGAAACTGTACAAGTGTAATGGTCAGCAAAGAAGTGGAACATGAACACGTACATGATAAAAAAAAACCTAACTGCCAAAACTGTTCGAAATTTTTCACAACCATTCGACTACCTTTAGTGACTGCTAAAGGCTGCAGTTGTAACTGCAATATTTTCCTTCTCGAGCCTTCTTCCCCAGAGCCATGTACATGTTAAGTACATGCAACAATCATTTTATCAGCTTCAGTGGATTCAAGATCATGGTTCACAAATTTATGCATAACAAAACATTTACAGTCAAAGTTGAAAAGCTTTGAAACCAATACTGGTAAAAAAAAAAACTCACCAATTTGACCAAATATCAGAGATTCCTTACAAAACTGAAAACCAAATAACAACAGTGCAATATATGACTGAAGAAACTGATTTGAAAATAAAGTAACTTGCTACAGTGTAAAAGGATTATTATTGTGTACAGTCTCAACTCTTTAAATTTGTCATTTTCAGGAACAAAGTTGTCCAATTGAGTACATCAAGGGGAAAAACAACCAAGTATACTTGAATATGGATATGAAAGGGCATATTCTTTACCCTGATCCTTAATACACAAATTACAGCTGATAGAGTGAAAAAATGTGGAGAACTGAATCCTGGTCGTATCTGCAGGCTTTTATCAAGAAACACAGTACTGTTATAGAATTTTAACAGACCTTTCTCTAAATGTAAGTCTAAATAAACAACAGTTACCATCAAAATTAAGCTGGAGAATTGTGTGTGATTTGATTACAAATACCTGATGTGGGGTTGTTATAGCAACCAAGAAATAAATACAAAATGCAAGTACATCAGAAAAAAAATATATTGAAAGAATGGCTTTTTCAGCATTCTACCAGAGACATGTATCTCTCAAGTTACAGTTAGAATGCGATTAATGGGTTTCTAGTCTAATTTGATCAATAAAGACCAGATTTGGAATATTTGACATTGTATCAATCTCTCTTTCGCATAGAATCTAACAGTAACTTTCCTCTACTTAATAGAACAACCTGTGCAACAATCACTGCTTGTAGAGAATAAATCAAAATAACTTGGCCTTGGGATATCAAACAAATTAAAGCAAGGAGATGACAGTGTGTAGAAACAGATGCTTCTCAGAGGAGCTGACCGCGTGGAATTGACTCGATCCATCTAAAACTGATCATTAAACAATGACTACCTCTTGATACCAAGAAGCTATGAAAACTCAATTCTGAGGTTAAGGAAAAAAAGGATAACTATCATTGGTAGAGAAATCTGTTTTGGTTTGCCTCGCCTTGCCTTGGATTACTGTGCACAAACTCAATCTTCAGTGTCACCTAGAAACAATGTTCCCTGTCTTTGTTCAGTAAAGTTAGATGTTATATGTTACTTATTAACAACAACAGTTGTTTGCCTCACAGGGAAATTAGCAGCTGAAGCGCAAATGGATAATCCTTTGAGGCTTTTGCTATGGTTTCCTTCAAGGAATATTTGTGGAAGTGACTGTCCCATGTTTCTTAGACAAGAGTCTTGAGACTTCAAGTCACAAGAACACTGCTTTGCTCATACTTCCCAGTAAATTTAAGAAAACAGAAACAATACAGCTTGGTTTTCTGATGTGTTCAAAATTATTATATTTGTATCACTTTCTGTTCAGTTAACATGAAACTAGGGTTTCAATAACTTTTTTCATATGCGACTGCCTATGGTGTAATATACTGCTGTGCCATAAGGCAAAACCCAATTACAAAAGCCAACTTGCAAGTAAAGAGACGGCGGAGAGATCTTGTGGGCGGCGGCACACCACAGATAACCAGCTTTTATTGAAATCATTGTTGATACCATAAACACCATTTTTTATGCATGATTCTGCTATGTAGATACACAATATAAAATGTAGTAAACCTTGAGGAAGCAATACATGTTAGCTGGCGAATTTACAGATAAACAAGAGGAAATATCAATTTCTTTCAATTGTAAAAATTTTTTATGTTATTATGATATAAGTATGGTTGATATCAAGCAAGATACATTGTGACATCTTTAATTTTATTTGTCATGCAGACAAAACTCTTTGCGTGCTGCTTGTGTGAAAACCTGGTGGAGATTACAAATCTTCTAATTTCCCGCCTATTAAAGGAGGCTTACACAGACAAGCGACTTTGTCTGAAAGATATGCATATTACTTAACTGTCTGAAAGTGCTGCCATAAAACTTGAAGATACTGTTAGGCAAAACCAAGAAGCTTTTCATGATGGAAGGGAATAATTTTTTCCTCTATGATGCAAAAAACACCCCATGATTCTGTCACAACAGGATGTAACACTGTAAAAATGAGAATCTAGACGCATGTAGACTACTTCAACAAACCCACATAAATAATTTCAAGCACACAGACTCCTACGGTAATTAAAACAAAACACTTTAATATAACTAATGGGTCTATTCAAGGGACTCCTACCATAAAAAATGGCAATTTTTTGGAACACAATATTTTTGCATTAGTACTTAACCAAGAATGGATACTTCAAATCTAGCCAGGGTTCTGTGGAAGATATTATTTGATTGAAGAAAATAAAAAAAAGAAAAAAAAGTGGAGTTACTTGTGATATTCACACAAGGCAAATATTCCATGTTTAACCCCCACTTAGATTGATTGCACTAAAATTGGCTGCAATGAGATTGATGACCACCTTTCTAACAGATGCCGACACTGTGACTCTTAGTCTTTCCTAGATTTAAAAATTATGACAGGTAAATTTGTTTTTGCAAATAATGAAGGCTTTTCTATTTTGCACTGGTCTTAAGACTGGCCTAACTGTTTTGGAAAGTTAGAGGTGTGACACAAACAGTTGAGCTAGTTTACTTGGTCCCAATCACCACCATGATATTACTGTGGGACAATCCGCTTAAGAGACATAAATGCACCATGTCCATGTCCAGTAATTAGCAAGAGAGAAACAAACTACATATTAATCTATGATTGGAAATGTCTGACAACTTTTTCCCCCTCTGCCCAGCGTTTATCTGCTTGAAACAGGTACCAGCATGGTAGGTTATATAAATGTGTTTCCTCTACTTAATAGAACAACCTGTGCAACAATCACTGCTTATGGAGAATAAATCAAAATAACTTGATGGCCTGGGGATATCAAACAAATTAAAGCAAGGAGATGACAGCGTGTAGAAACAGATGCTTCTCAGAGGAGCTGACCACGTGGAATTGATTCAATCCATCTACAACTGATCATCAAATAATGACTACCTCTTGATACCAAGAAGCTATGAAATGTGATAGTTACATAGTAGACATTATTTCAATTTCTATTGGCTAAGATTTTAGGAACTGCAAAACTTCCATAGGTGGCGGTAAGCATGGGATGTTAACGGCAATCAAGAAATATTTTTGCATACACCTGATAATGGCATTGTGTTCAAAACAAATGGGATGATATTGGCTCCATGTGGTGATCTAAACGAAGTCAATGCTAATTTTAATAATGGGCTGGATTAAAAAAATGACAGCTCAATCTTTTTTTTTTTTTTTTTTCCCAATCGAGCCTTCAAGCCCCCTACTTGTACTACAATATGAAAATTTTCTATTTTTCATCAGACCATAGAGCATCCTTGAGTGGGAGTTAACCTTGCTATACATGACATATCTAGTGCGATAACATTATCTAACATACGTACAGAAGTAAAGTTTTTACAAAGCACGTGCAAAAGTTTACAAAAATAGAAGAATAAACTCTCAAATCAGGTTCGTAAACAGGAACAGAACTCCACAACTAAAAATTACACATTGTAAAATATACAAAAGGAACGGGAAAAGTGCGCCAAACGAAGATCAAATTTAATTGCCCTGGTTGGCACAAGGAAAACATGATCAACCGAATTATGGACAGAAACATTAACACGACAGTTAATCAAGGCATAAAACGCGAGACATTTGTTTCTCATTGTTAGAAAAATAAAAGAATGAAGAATACCGTTAACCTTATAGTGCCCTGTAATTAATTACAAGCGTCAAAATTTTTTCACACCACGCGAAGCGAAAGAGTTCAACATCTTTTATGGTTAAGATTGCTCTACGAACTATTGATATCACTTGTAGTTAAATTCTCCGATTTCTCTTTGATTTACAAAAGGTTCTTCATTTAGTCACGCACACACGAAGAACCCGGCTTACACCAGAGATTTAAAATTTTTCTGTACAATAAACCGACACGATACAGCTGTCAATTTTTGAAAAGGAGCTACAGACATCTTAACCAACGGAGCAAACTAAATGTAAACATGATTTCTTCAGCCAGCCCAAGAGCACTCCGAAAATTCATCTCAAACTTCAAAACCACTCATACAAATACAAAGAAGGCTAGCATTATTTTTTGAGGGCGAATATATCAATTTTCATGAAACGGTATAGGTTTGCGTGATCAAGGATTCTGAAGAATGGAATAGAGATTCGAGTTGTTGTGAATCGAACACAGTGCACGAGCGGCGGTCGCTCGAAAGCCCTCTAAATCGAACAAAGAAATTTAAATTCCGGGATAATTTCGAGATCGCATCGAATTTAATCTTGGTCAATTGAGTCGTTACACGATGCGACAAATTTCAAAGGAGACAAGACACGTTTCACAAAAACCTTGAAAATTAATATATTGATGTCCGCAGGTAATTAATTCACGGCACTTCTTTGCAGTCTTTGGTGCGTTGTACAAGGTTTGCACGAAGAAAACAAATTCCAACTTCTCATGAACATTGCACAGTCAAACGCTGCTGATTTAAAAGCAAAAATCACTTCGTTCACACAACGCCTTCCGCGTAACTTCTTTTTACTGTCTCACGAGCTCCAAAGAATCTAGCGGGACCGATGTAGTTATTGTATACGGCTCTCGATAATCTTGAAACACACGCAAACACTTGCAAACAGACGGCCTCCAATTTCCGTTTATGGTGATTCCCGTCTTTTTACCTAATGCTTGACAATCGCTTCAACACAGCTGACATTATTGAGAGAACTAGGCTCATTTTTGATTACTTGACTTGTATCGGCGGCGCGACACGGCTGTGTCCGTCGCCGTAAGAACAAGAATCGACGGAAAGAACAAGAGATACTACAAAAAGTTTATACATGTTTAAACCTTACCTCGAGTTGTCCGTGCTTTTCGATCTGAAAAAGAAAGAGCAAAAGCAACATCAGTGTTTTTTTCCCTTTAAAGCTGCTCTTTTCCAGACCGATTACACCAGAGTATGGCATTCCCACAGTTAATCGAGATGAATGCCATATAATTTTCACCAATACCCTGTCGACATCAGGTTCGCTGCAACATACCTCGGCTTTTGCGCCAAGCGCTTTACTGGCGGCATCGCTGACCAATTTGTCCCAAAACACAGCCAAATACTCTTAACCAGAAACTTCTGAGACCTTAGCGGGCGTTTAACAGTCGAAAACACGAGATCATCTCCAATGAAAACGACAATTCCAAGGTCCTTTTACGAGCAACAAAATCAAGATGGCGCTTGTTTATCGTCTGACGAGAAATTATTATGCGCATTTTTTTCTCAGAAACATCACCTGATTGGTCGCGAGACTCCGCCAACATCACGTGATAATTACACCGGGGGTACGACCCCTCATAATACTCGAAAGTGATTATTATATTTTGATTTCCATAGTATCTGCGGTAATTTGCTGCGTTTTCTACAAAAGAAGGTGTATGCGTGTTTTTTTTTTCTTAAAGAAACAAAAGACAACATCAATACACGTTTCCGGTGATCAAGAAAACAATGCAATGGACTTGAATAGCGTGTGAAATTGTTAGGAAGAGCGGCGTCAAAACAGGTTCAAGCCGGTAGCGACTAATTTGTTACAACTCATGTAGGTTATCGATACGGAAAGAAACCGCCTAACTGAAGCTGAATGCAAGAACTTCCGTTTAAGACACAACGATTTAAGGTAAAGAATAGCAAAAGCAAATATTTACTTTTGATCGATGTAAAACCGGAACATTCCGAATCAACTACACGACCCCCTCCTCCCCCGCAAGTCCGAATATTTCATACGAGTCGATGAATTTCCTAATGGGTTCTACAAACTCTTGGTGTTCTAAATTTAACTTGTTGAATACAATGGTACAATATCTTAAGTGGATCGGGTTAAAGTTAAAACTTGCTTATTTGGCGTATGTCAACAACCCCAGTTGTTTTCTCTCTCGAAACGGGTGAGTGCTATACCTGATGACAATCTCTCGATCAAGTGAAAAAATTCGAGCTTGAGTTTTAACGACGCTCTTAAAAAGAAATTTCAAACTTGTGAGAAATGAAAGTTAAGCTATCGCAAAGCCACCTGTTATCGTGTTTACAAAGAAAATGTTTGATTTTTTCATGCAAAACAGAGTTTAATTAGGTGGTTAGAGTCACTGAAAATAGCGATGAGGTACAACACTGAACTTTCACCAAACTGTTCAAACTGATGAAATATGTCCTTGGTTTAGCACACTGTATAGCAGCTTTAACCTTTTAAACTAAGATAACTTGCAGATTAAGAAATGAAAACCAAATAGGAACAAGGTGTATAAGCATAAGTTTTATACATCAACTTCAAATTCATTTTTAAAACTGAAGAGGAAGTTTCTTTCATCACAATCAGAAGTCCAGTATGGAAGTTTAAAGCAAACTAATAGAGAGAGCAGGAACACAAATAGTTAACACGGAAGAGCTCTGTGTTTACAATGCAAATTAGATATTCAACCGACTTGCATCAAAAGGTCATACTGAAACTTTGTTACAATCATATGATACATTAGAAACTGTAATGAAGAGAGAAGAACAACCTGCTTTAAGCATGGTAAAAAAAGAAGTGAAAAAGATTTGGCTTTATCTTGCTATCAAAACTTGCTGCATTTTCTTTAACGTATGAACAGATACCCTTTTTCATATGTTTTTATATAGGATGCAAGTTATTTTTGGTATATATATATATATTTAATGGCTGAAATATGTTAATGTGGTCATTTAGATTAAAAACACAGACACTTTCTTTTCCCCTGAGGAGGTGGGTAATTAAAACTAAGAATTAATTCAAAAACTGCTTTATCCCCTTAATCTTTTCAATCCTTAAATACTTTCAAGATCCCTAAATCAGTTCTCCCAACAATGTGACATACATTTCTTCTCATTTTAGCTCTGAGAATTTAGTGTTTAATCAAACAATATCCCTAGTTAATACTTTTTTTCCTTCACTCCAATTTTCTGCTTGAAAATGTATTGATACTGTAAAGGGAAATTCCTTCTTGATCTCTCCTAGAATTGAAAGGGTTACATAACAGTACAAATTGGGATCATGATGTGTTAGGCTAGAAAGCATGTCGGAAGATTTTAAAATAGTCTTGCTTCCCTTGTCAAATGTTGACTTTTGCTTAAATGGGGAATTCATCTTCCCTCCTGGAACCTTACAAGAAGCGGTAGATGAATATCACTCCAACATTAAAAAGAGGCCTTTGATTAAACAAAGTGTGTTTGAGTCTTCAACTAATCTGATTACACTATAGTCTGTGAGTTCTGGAGACTCACGAAAGTAACATACCAAAACAAAACTTTCCCTCTCAACAGATTTGATGACATGTGTTAGAGGAGTTTTCTGCATGATAAAAGCTACATCATTTGAGATATTTCATTTTTGACCTTTCTCAAATTATGCAATGATAATTCATGGTGAACTGTTTACTTTGAAAATATTTAAAAAATGAAAGAAGCTGTTCACTTGCTAAAAATAATTCAGATTGTGCTTTTTATAATCTATTACAAAAAAAAAACATAAAGTAAAGTTGATTGGCATATGACTTGCTGTGAATGTTCATTTGAGCAATAATTTTCATTTTCTCCCATAATGTGCTGGAATTAGGAATAACTTAGACCTGCGCTTTCAAACCAAAACAATTTCTAGCTAGTTTATTCCTTCTTTTTGGAGCTTTTATCTTGATCATGCTGTTGGGGAATTCCGTGAATGTGAATGTTAATTAAAATCCCTCTCTCCCACTAAACAAAATCAACCAGACTCTTAAACCTTTAATCCAAGCATGGCATTAGTTTTAACCCTAACACTGACATTTGTGTAAATATTCTCCACACTGGTTTCTATCATTTTCCTTTGCTACTATCAAGGAGAATGTGTCACTCAATCAAGAGCTTCTTAAGTTAGATTTTCTCGACCTTAGGGTTTGAATCGCGGTTGATATTCTAAGGAGAAATTAGATGCTAGTCACACTCAGGAGTCCAAGGATTTTAAAAATAATTATAGCTTGGAATCTTAATAGTGGAGATCTTGTTTGTCTTCTCTCTCTAATCTCATCATACTCCTACTCTTCGCACAGGTGTAACCATGCAACATTGATCAATCGAGAAGACCACTGTGATGCTAGAAGCATGCAATCCAGGCTGGGATTATTATGGTCACCATAGTGAATAAAAAAATTGTATCCTCTAATTCTTAGCAAAAGTGGCAAATTAACAAATTATTTTCCGCAATCACGTAGTAAGTTCTCACTGTTAGTTTCAATTTTTTAAAACTCAGTGGAATATTTTCTATGAAAAGTTATTTGTTAAGTTGAGTTTTTTTGCTTTTTTCTCCTCAGATGTGTAAGTGTTAAGTTAAATTCCAATCCCCTTTTTTTTACATTTTTCATTGCCAAATGGAAACTTTGAGCTTGAAGCAGTGACCTTGGCATTTTGTACAGTGTAACTAGGAAAACTGAAAGCTTTTCTATCCAATTATCATACCACAAAGGAAGTTAAAAAGTGTTACGATTTCTGTAAACCTTGAGCTTGAAGCAGTGACCTTGGCAGTTTGTACATTGTAACTAACAAAACTGAAAGTTTTTCAATCCAATTATCATACCACAAAGGAAGTTAAAAAGTGTTCAGACTTCTGACGTATTTTGTAAAGCAAATTACAGGCTGCGGAGGTTACGTCATATAGTTGTAGTACATTCAA